AGGTCATGTAGAAGACAACTGCATTTCAGAGAAATCACTTGTTTTCATTGTTAAAACTATGCTTCCATGATTGGAGAGGATTTTTAGGGGAGAACATCATAATGCTATCTGACTATTTGACTCAAACTCCTCACAGTAATCATATTGACAGTAATCATATGGAAGAGTGGGAGCCAATACATTTTGATTAAACAAAATGTAGTATATAAGAACTGGAGTGAGGCCAGCAGACAATGAAAGTAGCGTTAAGGCTAGTTTAATGAGTGATTTGAGAAAGAAAAAGAATTACAGAGAAAGAAAGAAGCAAGATATCAGTTGGACAACCCAGTCCTGCATGTGGACATCCAATTCAGGAAGCAGCCACAAGAAGAAGTCATTTAACCCACATTCCCCGAACACAAATCTGAATATCCAAATGTGATATTTATTGTCCACTTCTGAAAACTGGACTTCAGCTTTTCCACCTAGCCCCACCCACACTTACCTGATGAATTATTTTATAAGCTACAAAATTCCCCCTAGTACTTAAGGAACAAAATATAACACTTAGGGTATGTCTACACAGCAAAGTTATTTAGAAAAAGCAGCCATTATTGCAAAATAACTTTACCAGCGTCTACACAGCCAAACAACTATTTCAAAATTAAATCAAAATAGCAGCGAGCTTATTTCAAAATTGGTAAATCTCATTCTACAAGGAATAGCACCAATTTCAAAATTGCTATTTTGAAATATGCTTTGTGTAGACGCTTATTTCGAAATAGGGGGCCTCCAGGTCTTCCCAGAGTGCCTTGCTGGCCACTCTGCACACAACCAAGAAAACTCCTCCCCCTCTCCCCAGGGCCCTTAAAGGCATAGACTGTGGCCACAGTGCCTGTGCCAGCTCCAAGCCTGCCAGCCCAGAGCCAGCAGTCGCTACGCCTGACCCAGTGGCCCCAGCACAAGGCAGGCAGCCAGTGCCAGCCAGCTCAACACTGATCCCCAGAACCAGTCTGCCAGTTCTCACGAGCCTGCCAGGGTCCGGAAAAGCCGGGCACCTGCCTGGTCCAGTGCAGAGATCAGGGACCTAATTCAGGTTTGGGGGGATGCCGCCAAGATCCATGATCTCCGCACTAAACAGAGGAATGCAACCGTCTACAGGTGGATGGCTGCTAGTCTGGCCACCAAAGGCCACATGCGATTCCAGGAGCAGGTTCACATGAAAGTAAAGGAGCTGTGGCAGGCATATGCCTGGGCCATAGGGGGCAGCTCCCAACCAGGGGCAGATCCAGACCCTTGCCCCTATTTTGATGCCATGGACCACATCCTGGGGGACAGGATGGTCCATACCTCCAAGTGGTCATCAACCCAGGTGCAGAGCTTGCTGCCTCCTGCTGCTCCAGCCTCTGATGCCTCCCCAGCTACCACTCCTCCTCCCACTCCTTCTCCCTCTCCTGCTTCTTCCTCCCCACCCTCCCCACACCCCCAGAGATGCAAAGGACCCTGCACCTGTGGTGCTGGGAGACAGTTGGGCTAGCGAGACCCCCTACCCTGAGCCCTGAGCTTCTCCTCCCCCTTCCTCCCCTTGCCTCCCCCTGCAAGCTCCCTCCTCCAAAGTTTTACCCTCCCCTCTCCCATCCTCTCTCCTCCCCTCTCCCACCTTCTTTCCCCAGCGTCACCTCAGTTTCATTCCCCCCACCCCAATTTTGTTCAATAAAGAGGCTTTGATGTAATGAACACATGTGTTTTTTATTGTACATCAGGAAGGGGGGGCTAGAGAGTGGTAAGTGGAAGGATATGAGGGAGGACTAGGGCACAAGCCCCCAGTGGGGCATACCAGGGAGACTGTTACTGACTACAGAACATGCTGCCAGGCTCGCAGCAACAGGTCCAGGAGAAGCACTAGAGTGCCCAGGGATGGCTCTGCCTCCATGCTGCAGAGTCCTGTGGTGTCCTGAGTGAGGGCACGCAGTGTCACGTCCAGGAGAAGCACCAGAGTGCTTGGGGCGGCTCTGGCTCCATGCTGCAGAGTGCTGTGGTGTCCTGAGTGAGGGCAACCAGAGCATACAGAGAAAAAAAAATGCTTTGCTGTCCCTCAGTGAGGTAGGCAAGCAAGCAGGGAAACCTTAGAACTGGCTGTCCGGGAGGGCGGGGGCGGTACCTTTAAGCACAGATAGGCTCAGGCAGCAGCCACACAAGGTAACGCCTGACCTGATGCCCTGACAGATGTCGGTTCCAGCTGGCCTTAAATGCGATTCAGCATCCTCTCAGTGTGGGTGCACTATTTCAAAATAGTAAAACACTATTACGAAATGCATTTTGTGTCTAGACGCGTTATTTTGAAATAAGCTATTTCAAAATAACTATTTTGAAATAAGATTTTTCAAAATAACGCTGTAATGTAGACATGCCCTCAGACAATTAATAGCTTTATTATAAAAAAACAATTTTCTGAAAGCAAATCACTATGCTTTCTTCCCCTCTTAGCCCTGCATGAGGTCAAAGAGTTTGAGAGCATTTAGTAAATAACTTGCCTCTGCGCACTTCTTTGTTTATATAACCTGAGCATCAAATGCACCACAGGAAGCATTCAGACCGAAACACTGAGATCATCATGAACATTAGGAGAGCCAAACTGTCATCATCCTGATATACTCAGCATGAAAATTATCTTTCATACATCATGTCTGAATGTTTATATCAACCACAGAGACCTAATTTTCATTCAGACTATATCCTCAATACCACACTTCTACAAAGTAATTTCAGAGAGGTGAGCAAGTTTTCAGTCACTGAGATTCCAAAGCAACCTGCTTCCATTATCCATTAGTTACTACTTACAGTTCAAAAAGTAAATGAAGGGTTTAAGAAAAGGAAACAGCTGAAATTTCAGATAAGACCATAGCTTTCTGGGAGCAACTAAATTAGACAGAAGTTTCCAAATCAGCATCCCAAAGAGATGGATGTAGATAACTCACATGTCTCTGGGGCTACGTATACACAGCAGTGTTATTACAGAATCACTGACATTATTCCGAAATAACATAGTGTGCATCTATACTACAGTTATTTTGACATAAAGCCGAAATAATGTCAAAATAACTTTGGCTAGAGGACTTCTTACTCTGACTCCTGTAACCCTCATTTCACAAGGAATAAGAAAAGTCAGAGGAAGAATTCTCTTTCTCTGACTTCCTGCTGTGTAGACAGCGCCAAAAGCCAAAATAAGCTATTTCGACTTAAGCTATGCAATTGACATAGCTCAGGTTGTATAGCTTATTTCAGCTTTATCTCTGCTGTGTAGATGTGCTCTTGGGGAAGGGTTATGACTCCTCCCCTCACCTATGGAGGCTTCCCTAATAGCAGAACTAGTGCAAATTTGTAGTGAAAGGGGTGAGATCTGATTTTGTTTATGTCTACACTGCAATTAGACACCTGCAGCTTCCTGTGAGGTTCAGGCTGTGGGCATGTTTAATTACAATGTGGACAACCAGGCTCCAAAACCCTGAGAGATGGGAGGGTTCTAGAGCTCAGGCTTCAGCCTGAGCTGGAACTTCTACACCACAATTAAACAACCCCACAGCCCAAGCCCCAGTCAGCTGGCACTGGCCAATTGTAGATGTCTAATTGCAGTCAAGACCAATCCTGAGGGAATCTCTGCAAGATAGATAGAAGATCAATTCTATAGAAACTCCCTGGCTGTGTCTACACTGGCACCCTTTTCCGTAAAAGGGATGCTAATGAGACACTTAGGAATTGCAAATTCCACGGGGGATTTAAATATCCCCCGCGGAATTTGCATGAACATGGCTGCCGCTTTTTTCCGGCTTGGGGTTTTGCCGGAGAAAAGCTCCAGTCTAGTCGGGATCTTGTGGAAAATAAGCCCTTTTCCGGAAGATCCCTTATTCCTACTTGAAAGGAGTAGCACAAGGAGTAACGGTAGTTCAGATTAGAGAGCCTAATCCGAACTACCTACTCCATGCCGCTTGTAGCCGCGGGCACGGAGTCCGAACTACCGGGGCTTTAAAAATGGCGGCGCCCAGCAAGATGCAAATGAAGCCCGGAATATTTAAATCCCGGGCTTCATTTGCAACTTCAGTTGCCTACATTAACCACCCTAGTTCAAACTAGGGTGGTAGTGTAGACATACCCTCAGTGTGTTATATGTTTTCTCTGCTTTCTTCAAACATCAGTTAATAACAGCAATTTAAAAATAATTCCATCACAGCATTACAAATGATGGAGACACCTATTAAATATGGTTTTGAGCTTCTACAATAAGCATGATATAAAATGCAGTAATTGGATCAAATTTATTCAAGACAACTCTTAAGACCTTTCCTACAAAAGCCAGTTTGAAACACTTCTGTGGTATTCATAGTTTAGTCCAAGCATAAATAAGCTTATTGCAGTACTGAACGCAGAATTCTGACAGAAGGAGCAATTAACATATATAGGTTGCAAATAAAGGGCTGTATATGAATCCAGAACTCTGGTGATAATACGTTTCCTGACTTATTTTCTGCTGCATCACAGCACCAGTCCATGTAAAGGTATGTAATGTATGCAGTGTTAGCGCTGGGATATTAGAGAGACAAGGGAAGTGTGGTCATATCTTTTATTGGACCAAAGTCTGTCAGTGTGAGGGAGAAACGTTGGAATTTAACAGAGTTCTTCTTTAGGTGAGACATTCCAATCTCAAGAGGTTTGCCTTTTTCACTGACAGAATTTGGTCCAATTTGATATTCCCTCACCCATAACTGATCCATTACAGAATACAGCAGATGCACTCTAACTAGATTAAATTAATCTGGAACATATGGAAGCACATCTAACAGAAGTCCTGAAACATACTCATAATAGACTTTTTCAAAACACCAATCAGAGCTACACAAGATTTTTGTGCATTTTTAAATTTTACTTAGACTTTTTTTTTTTTTTGCCTCGCATAACAGACCCAGTTTCATCCGGTTCAGACTTCACCACAAGACCAATGCTGTTTTCTTTTTGAAAGACACACGTCACTGTACTCTGAAAAAGGGGAACTTCCACCTCTTGTGGTTACATTGCATGATAAACAGCTCTGTTCACACCAACTCGAGAAGTTGCTTGGACTAATAAAAAGCAACGGGCACCAGAGGCAGAAAGGAGATGTTTGTGGCTCTCGGGACTATTACTTCAGAAGTCAATCCCATACTGAGACTAAGCAATATGCCCGGATTGTTTTTTCCTCACAATCACCTATCCGAATTGAAAGAAGCTGATTGCAAACTTGCAGAAGGCAAGGGTCGTAAAAAGAAGCAAAATGCTTTGTAAGTATATGTGACTTACTGTCAAATGAAAATGAACTTGAATTGAAAAAAAACATTAGAAAATTCAGAATTAGTGTTCTTTTACAGAGTTTGCCCAAAGCAAAGCTGCGTTCAGAACTGTAAAATGATACCATTATTATAACAGAGATTGAACTGAAAGGGAACTGGATGACTAGGTCCTAATACAAAAAAGTAGTGAGTAGGAAAAAAGGAGCAATTGATCGTAATTACTTGCATAAGTATCCCATTGGTATCAACAATGGAACAGAATGATCTGGCCTTAAAGATTTAGAAGTCCTAAGACCTTCATGCAGAATACTACCTAAATGTAAATGTGTTTAACCATAACCATCCATTTCTGATCATTCATTTCAGTGGTGCAAATCTGAAAAGCTATTTGAAGTCCATGGTACCACATATTGAATCTAGCATCAAGTCTAACTCCAGAAATATGATGTAAGTACTAGACTTTAGAAATACACAGTAATTATGAATTAAGACTAGATTACCATATTTTGTCCTCACAAACAAGTCTTTGAATTTGCAGTCATGTACAAAGTACATGATGAGCCATACATTATTTTTAAGATCAACCTAATTTCATTTTCCTAGTTACAAAATGGGGTTTTATAAATTGAGTAACAACATACTAGAGGGTATAAATGGAACTGAAATTATTTTAATGTTTTCCTTTTTTCACTCTTTTTTATTTATGGGACATTATGAGGTGCTAATCACCATACCTATCGATTAATATCCCACTTACATTATTAATAAATTACAGCTTGACAAAACTCTTGTGAAATAGAGAACTATTCCCATTCCCATTTTAAAGATAGGGATAACAGCGATATGCACAGATGAAATGTTTTGCCCAAAGCCACAGAAGAAGCTAATGAGTCATGGAATGAAAACCAGATCTACCCAGGACTTTATTAACAGACCCTCCATTCTCCTATCATTTACTTCAAGAATTCCATTGTTTTTGACTTGTCCCATTTATAGGGCAACAGCATGCCACTAATTTCATGAACAGCTCACTAAAGACTTTTTCAGCAATCAATGCATTTTCCTAACATTAAATAATCAGCTATAACCTTTAAGTATTCCACAGAAGATGTTAAATAACATAATTAAATAGTCAATACTTTGTTTCTTCTGTTACATTTTTTTTCTTTTGAACTTCACAGGCTTTCTGCAGAGGACGTGATGCAATGGTCCCAGTCTTTGGAAAAGCTACTTGCCAGCCAAAGTAAGTATTATTTTATCGGTGCAACTTTCTTGTATTAATCTAGTGAGCTTTCATGCAGACTAAGCCAGTAGCATTCCGTGAATAATGTTAAAAATAATGTCCAGTTTCCTTTCAGTAATTCACATCTTCACTGTCACAAGACTATCTATTATAATATAGTTCCTTAATTTTGCAGCCTGTCTTTACATAGGCCCAGTGCTTCTCCTATTGATGTAAATGGAAATAATCTCATTAAATTCAGTGGGATTGGATTAGATCCCAAATGCCCAAGTTCTTCTAAAGAATGCAGTTAAGAGTTGTGTTTGCATTTGGAGCTGAAGAAAGCCCATGCAGAGTTGAACAGACTCTCACTGACTTCACTAGCCTTTCCATTGAAGTGCCCTGCAAAAAAAAAAAAAAAAAAAAAAAAAAAAACAGTAAATATCAACAAAATCTTACTACTATAATAGAAGACATCTATGTGCAATTTACTGTAACTGTATTTATTTTATACTCCCAAACTTAAGTTATAAATATAATATTATAACTGATTAAGTTTTCCTTGTTTGTTGTAGGTGGTCAAGGTGCCTTCAGGGACTTTCTGAAGTCAGAATTCAGTGAGGAGAACATTGAGTTCTGGCTGGCTTGTGAGGACTACAAAAAAACCCAGTCTGATCACTTGCAAGACAAGGCAGAGAAAATTTATGAAGAATTTGTTCAGATAGATGCAGCTAAACAAGTAAGTACAAAGTTAATCTGTATTGTGTTATACATGAAAGATTATGGGAACTGAAAAACTGGGTTAAAACAAAAACAAATAAACAAAAATCTCTCCTCCAAAAAAAGAAGAGAAAGAAAATGTTGGTAAAAATCTAACAGGAAGGTGAAGTGACTGTTGTTGATTCAGCAGGTGGTATTCTTCCCTCTAAGTCAGTATGGATTTCAGCAAGATGTTAAGGGCTAGTTCTGCTGATGGTGGCGCTGTCACCTGAATGAGACATGAAACCACTCTGGATCACTTGAGTCTCTTAACGATCCAAAGACACTCTGAATAACATAGAGGTGGTAGCACAGGCCACATTCTACACCAGATGCCTACCTTCTGCCAAAAATTCCCCCTGAAATTGAATTGGATATTTCATTCATCATTTCCTGTCATGATTTCTCCTTCTGATCCCAAAAGTGGGTATACTTCAGTAGTGAATGATAATTCCTGTGTATAGTTTGTATACCATTTTAAGTTCAACCAATTTTAAATGACAGGTATTATTTAAGGATATGTTAATTATTGTAGCTTAAAGAAATCTTGGACAGTTTTAAGTCTGTGTTTCCGAAAAAGTGACAGAAAAATGAAGTGAGAGGAAAAATTATTTTTAAAATATTAACAAAGTTTGATTTTCTCTTCCTAGATCAATATTGACCATCATACAAGGGAAACTACAGCTAAAAAGGCTCAAGACCCAACTTTCACAAGTTTTGATGAAGCCCAAAAAACTGTATATGTGTTAATGGAGCGGGATTCATATCCTAGATTCTTGAAATCAAAAGCCTATCTTAATCTTTTAAACAAGCTTCAGGTCAACAGTATTAAGTGAAGAGTTTGATGCCATGGAAAACTGATGGTAGACTTTGTGTGTCAACTAACCTACAGTGAGGAGATCCCCCTGTGCAGCTTGAATTCAGTGCACAGAATGGAAACATTTGTCTTTGAAGTGCTGGGGGAAGTGCAGATAAATGATCCTACACAAGAGCTCATAAAACCCAACATGATGAAGGCACTCATGCTAGATTTCCAATCTGAGAGAGCGGGAAGGGGGCTGAAAGAGTGGAAAGGCCCTCTATCCTTTGCCACTAAACTGAAAATGGATACATAGTTAGTTATTATTTGTATTGCACTGTTCTGACGTATTACTAAATCCCACAAGTTGGATAATAGTTTGGAAGAGTTAGGGTAATGCCCTTGTTTCTGAGAATAATGGGTAAAATAATTAATACTGGGAGGAAAAAAATACTTTTAAGTTGTCAATTTCTGAAATAACCACAGAAATGCATAAAGCAGACCAATATGTTAAATGAGATCTTGCCCAGGATATGAAATGTTAATACATGTGCAGCAGTTCTATTGTATTGAATGAAATGTATTATAAATGTGACAATTGAGAATAAGTTTCTATTTTAAGTTGTATAAGCTAGTTATTACTATTTATATATTCAGCACTAGGTACGTAGCACATTTTCACTGTTTAATTTATTGCAAAGTGTGAAATGACAAGCAATTCCTAAATTAAAGTTTTGTGACAAAAACATAACAGTTCTATGGTCATTTTTCCTCTACCATAAGGTGGTTTTGACACCTGAATTAAGGATTTAAATACTGATGCACAGGATTCTCTTCTGCCATACCCCAGTGCCCTCTCTGTTATCCTCTGAAATCTTTTCATTCTCACATTCTAATTCTCCTCTCTTGCCCTTTTCTCTTGCACCCTATTTACAGCGACATACCTCCATTTCAATGAGATGTACTCAAAATAAGATCAGAATCAAGTCTAAAGTTTCTTCTCATTTTTTGCACATCCCCAACCTTAGCTGTTAAGTCTTTCAACAAGTACTGAAGCAGAGAGGTGAAAAGTAATCTCAGCAGAGCAACTCCAGAGCTCACTCCACTTTTCACATTGTTGAACTGTTAAACATCCGGACCACTCATGCTTATTTATCAAGAGTAACAGTAACGGCTGAGGCTGATCAGTAAACTCCCTGCAGTGTAAGTACTACAGAGCCTTGGTAGATGATATGACAGAATCTAATTTACGTTACAAGTATTAAGAACAAAGATCATTTACATTTCATTCTGATTCTTGTGTTAAATTTGCTCTGTAAACTGTGCCGTGTCATGGACAGGCGAGCACCAAAGTGGGCAATAATTACCGGGGAGACGGCCAAAGCAGGAGATCAAAGTTGTGTACTTGAAGTTACTAACTAATTCCAAAACACAATTACTATCAAATCCAGAGTTCAGAGAGCTCATAAAAGTAGAGTTTATAATGAAAGTAAGTAACCATGAACACTGTTGTCAGTGAGTTCACTTTGTGTTCAGGATAAAATCTTGTACTTCCCTCACATGCAGAACTTTTTTTATCTCACTGTTTCAGTTTTTCCATTCTCCCAAAGATACAATCTTAGACTCTGGGTTTGACTCACTCAGCTAAGACCAGGAAGTGAAAACCCATTGCCCATGACAAAACGAGCAGCACTGACTTGGCCTTTGTCACTCTCTTGGGGAAAAAATGCTCGTTAGAGAAGGGGGATGGGCAAACATGGTGGATAACAGGTAATTTTCAAAGTAAAATAACCAAAAGAGAAACAAACAATTATCAACATTGACAACTGGGAGAAACAATTAGGTAGAATTATTAATTACATGCTTCTAACGTGACTAGTTCAGGAAAAGCAAATCAAAAGATGGCATTATATTTATTACTGAGACTGAACTTAAAGGGTAAATCACAATTTTTTCTTCTCGTACACTAAGAGATGCCCCCAAAATAAACTTGAAACAGAAAATGTTTATTTAAGTAATTAAAAACAAAACAATTAACTCAACAAAAAGTATACATGTGAGATTGCTACAAGGAAAGAAAGGTACATAAAATGAATGCTAGCAATGTAGCAATACTTAAAACAACCTCTTAACTAAATAAAAAATTCTTAATCTATAAAGTAAATTAAACTTTTGCTGAATAGACTATTATTATTATTATTAAGAATAATAAATGAGCATAACATTTAAAAAGATATGAGCATCAATAACAATGGTGTTCATTTAGTTACTAAGAATGCTAATAACATTAACAAGTTTTTTTGTCCAAATTAAGATTCCCTATTAGCTAAGCATTATTAGCATACATCAACAGCTAAACTTAGAGAAATGTATCAAGGAGCTACATGGGTTGGTTATGACAATATAATTGGAAACAGTAAGTCAAGTCAAACAAAAGCTAGCAAACCATTCTTACTACTTTTATGTTTGTTTTAAGGAAATAGTATTCTGAGGGGTAAGCATGATTCTATAGTTTGAAATTAAGCAGTGTTTAGACACACACCTAGTTCAAGCATGTTACTGTGACAACTTTCCTTCTTCCTTGACCTAAGCCCATCAAATGGGGTCCATTCTATAAATCTTCTTCATCCAAAGCACTCAGTTCAATGCCAGAACATATATCACACCACATATCAATAGGTTTTCCTATGTGGCATGTTTTAACTACTTTTTAGAGCGGCCTCTTTTTCCTTCAGTCCTGAACTTTTGGATTCTTACACACTTAGTTGTCAAGACTGCTCTTTACATGACCAAATGACCTGAGCTTGTCTCTAGCACACACATTCCTCACCTGGCTTGTCTTGCTTCCAGCCTGTCATTCATCTCAACAATTGCATTTCTGTGGAACAGATCATTTGCTCATGTTTCTTCATTGTTCTTCACACAGCATCATCCATTAAAAGTGGATTAACTTTCCCTTTTATATCACTGATATCATCCTCTCTCTCTCTCTCTCTCTCTCTCTCTCCATCTGAACCAGACATTTCTTATCTTCACTCTAATTTCATCTTTCATTTCCCTGCATTCTGAAATTCAAATGCTTGAACCAGGTGGTTGGGCAACTTGGGACGCCAAACAGTGCATGCGGGAAAGCCCATCCTCATTCCCATGTTGGGTTCCAGCCCTGTGCTGCACCCTAAATTGGAAAGGTTGTAGGGATATGAACCACCAGGTGACCTAGCATTCTTTTCCCTATTCCTCTGCAGCCACCAGTGGGGCATGGTATGTCACCAAGACAAAACATCGCTCAAGGAGGTAATATCATAGGGCCTCCATGGCCCATTTTATGGCAAGGCACTCCCTCTCAACTACAGCATACTTGCACTCCCTTGGGAGCAGTTCCCTGCTAAGATACAATACTGGGTGTTCTTCTTTCCCAATTGTTTGTGATAGGACTGTCCCTAACCCCATGTCCGACGAGTCCATTGTGCTCAGGTGAGACTAATTGGGAAACAAGAAGGCATTAACCCTCTCTCCAAGATAGCTGCCTTCTATAAGATTTTTGCAGTTCACAGGCTGTGGTCTGCCACATTTCAAATAGGATGAGTGTTCCCTTTGTTCTCTGGCCTTGATGTAGGTCTGCCTCAGCTCCTTTATCTTCATCCACATCTGGTCCTGGGTGCCGGTATGCTCCTTCTGGACCAGGCTGGCAGCCCTTCAGCCACAGAAGTCGGCATTTCTGCTGAGGTATCTTCCGAGTCAAGCACCAGTCCCAACCCCATCCCTGAGACCGTCCATCCCCCTCACTAGGGAACACAATTCCAGTGCTTCACCAGTCTCCCAGGACAATAGTAAGAGAGTCAATATGTACCAGTTCTGACTTACATACAAATTCAATTTAAGAACAAACCTACAGTCCCTATCTTGTACGTAACCCGGGGACTACCTGTAGTTAATTTGGCAGTTATTATTTCAAAATATCTTATTTTGAAATAACCTTGTAGTGTAGCCATAACGTTACTGGAAAGAGATAAAAAAAATAAGATTTAAAAAAAACACGCACAATTATCTCCTCATTCAGATATATTAAGGTGACAGCACATTTCCAAAAAAGGATCTGTTTAGTGATTAAATTATTTTTATATTGAACAGTCCAATATTTTGGGCTGTGTACAGATTCTTTGTTGCAGGTTGCAAATCTACCAACTGGACAGGTTAAAGTCACTGCACATTTCCTACCCATCTACTAGCTTCAGAAGAGTCCACGTTTCCAAGAGTTCCCAGCCTCTCCTTGGAATTACTTAATTTCTTCTTTAGCATTGTTAATTAAAATGTAAAACAAACAGAACTTTTTTAATGTCTTCTGGTTCAATTTCTTTTGCTAACTTCTCCAGCAATTTAACAGGATAAATGCTCTATCACTTTGTTGTAATTTGGTTAGTTTCTTCTTACTCTATATTTGAAGTTGAGGAAAGTTTATCTCATCTTTTTCTTACATGTAGGAAGAATTTTCACCAATTTGATTTTTTTTGGAATTCACCAAATTCCAAATTAATTATAAAATCAATAAATTAATCACAAATAGAGTATTTAGCTTATTTTAAGCATTGTCCTTCATACAAATCAGTCACAACACAAGACCATTATTTTTTTTATAATAAAGTTTCTAATATAACTTCATACTTCCTATACTTAATCTTTATACAACTGTCACATTACTGGATTTTAAGGATATCAGACAGGTCACTGCTATACCCAAAGGGGGTGGGGATTGCCCCAAGGTATGTACAAAGGGGGCCATGTGAGATGTCAAATGAAAGCTTATGTTCTACTGATTTTATGTATGTTATTTATGTACTTGTGTGATATCTGTATGTGGAGTTATAAATATGTACTGTGTGTGAGACAGATCAATGGGCCAGGAATGTTCAGTCAGTGACTAACTAGCTGGGCTCCAGGGACAAGGCTCTCAGAGAAGCCAATACATACCTGAGGAATGTGTCTGGGACCTGCAAACCAGCCAATATCATGACTGTTGACATGGGACACAGGTATAGGTCACTGGACCTGCCTCAGCTTGGAAGATACCAGGGATGGATATAAAATGCCATGAGGCGGACTCCATCCGCCTTCAATTCTGCTACTGATTCCAGCCTTGCAAGGAACAGCGAGTCGGGAAGAATCGTTGGCCCATCCTGACATAGGATGTACACCAGAGACTTTTAAGATAGCAGTTTTTAACATCTCTGCCAAGAGCCTGCATTGAGAAATTGGTGATTCGATGCATGTAATATATTCTCCTTAACAACCTTACTCTCATGCTTTTCTTTATTTCATTAATAAACCTTTATTTTTTAGATTCTAAAGGATTGGCCCAGTGTGATCTTGTGGGTAAGATCCAAAGTGTTAATTGACTGGGAACTGTGGCTGGTTCTTTGGGACAGGAAAGATCCATTCAGGGTAGGTGAGGTTGGGTTCTATAATCCCTTACCTGTGTGGAAGGCCTGGGGCTGATTGCGGCACAGGGAGAGCTGTGGTGTCTGAGGGGTTTTGCTCATGAAGTTTCCTGCTGGTCAGATTGGCAGCTGAAGCACTCGGTGAGACTGGTTTGTGGCCTATTTGGGGAAGACCTCCAGTCAGGGGCTGTAAGGAGCCCTGAGTTTGAGCAATTCACCTTGAGCAGATGCCACCTGCAGAGCCCAGACCCGGTCCGGTATATCACAACAACATTTCTAGATTTACTAATATATGA